GTACCCAGCAAACCGTGTAGTGAGCCTCCTCTCCACCTTTCTGAACAGAGAAAATGTTAGGGCTGCTGAAGGGGGAATGACAGGTGCACATGGAAAGCATCATAAGCCACAGAAAAAGCACCAGTAAGTCAGGCATGGAAGCACAGGCCTGCCATTCCCGAAAGTCAGGCACCAGTAAGTCAGGCATGGAGGCACAGGCCTGCCATTCCCGAGAGTCAGGAGCTGGGAGATCAAAAGTTTGAGGCCAGTCTTGGGAGCTTAATGAAATCCTGTCACCAAATACAAAGTAAAAAGACAGCTGAGGATGAAGGATAATGGTATAGCACCGACCTAGAATCTCCCAGTGAGGGACTGAGGCATGGCTCAGTGGCTATCCACCATCTCCAGTGAGCGGCCGGATGTGGCTCCGTCACAGCGCCCCTGTCCAGCATGTTAGAGGCCCTAGGTCGTATCCTTAGCATCACATACTGATCACCGAGTCCCATACTCCTGCTGTGAACTGGAGAGTCCTGCTGCCCCCAGGCTTGTCAGATGCACTGACACTGGTCTCCCCGCAGGTGATCCGCACTGACACATTCAAGCACCTCCGACACCTGGAGATCCTGCAGCTGAGCAAGAACCTGGTGCGCAAGATCGAGGTGGGGGCGTTCAATGGGCTGCCCAGCCTCAACACACTGGAGCTCTTCGACAACCGCCTGACGACAGTGCCCACGCAGGCCTTCGAGTACCTGTCCAAGCTCCGGGAGCTGTGGCTGCGCAACAACCCCATAGAGAGCATCCCGTCCTATGCCTTCAACCGGGTGCCCTCACTGCGCCGCCTGGACCTGGGCGAGCTGAAGCGGCTGGAGTACATATCGGAGGCAGCCTTCGAGGGGCTGGTGAACCTGCGCTACCTCAACCTGGGCATGTGCAACCTGAAGGATATTCCCAACCTCACAGCACTTGTGCGCCTGGAGGAGCTGGAGCTGTCGGGGAACCGGCTGGACCTAATTCGCCCCGGCTCCTTCCAGGGCCTCACCAGCCTGCGTAAGCTGTGGCTGATGCATGCCCAAGTGGCTACCATCGAGCGAAACGCCTTTGACGACCTCAAGTCGCTGGAGGAGCTGAACCTGTCCCACAACAACCTGATGTCGCTGCCGCACGACCTTTTCACGCCCCTTCACCGCCTGGAGCGTGTCCACCTGAACCACAACCCCTGGCACTGCAACTGTGATGTGCTGTGGCTCAGCTGGTGGCTGAAGGAGACAGTGCCCAGCAATACCACATGCTGCGCACGCTGCCACGCGCCCGCCGGCCTCAAGGGCCGCTACATCGGTGAGCTGGACCAGTCCCATTTCACCTGCTATGCCCCGGTCATCGTGGAACCACCCACAGACCTCAATGTCACCGAGGGCATGGCGGCCGAGCTCAAGTGTCGCACGGGCACATCCATGACGTCAGTCAACTGGCTGACACCTAACGGCACGCTCATGACGCACGGTTCTTATCGTGTGCGCATTTCGGTGCTGCACGATGGCACACTCAACTTCACCAATGTCACCGTGCAGGACACGGGCCAGTACACGTGCATGGTGACAAACTCAGCCGGCAACACTACTGCCTCGGCCACGCTTAATGTGTCGGCCGTGGACCCCGTGGCTGCGGGAGGGCCCGGTGGCGGGGGCCCGGGGGGTGGGGGCGGTGCAGGGGGTGCGGGCGGCTACACCTACTTCACCACGGTTACTGTGGAGACTCTGGAGACGCAGCCGGGGGAGGAGGCCCAGCAGCCCCGAGGTACTGAGAAGGAGCCCCCAGGGCCCACGACTGATGGCGCATGGGGCGGTGGCCGGCCTGATGCTGCAGCCCCGGCCTCGGCGTCCACTACGGCACCGGCTCCGCGCTCCTCGCGGCCCACGGAAAAAGCTTTCACGGTGCCCATCACGGACGTGACAGAGAATGCGCTTAAGGACCTAGATGATGTCATGAAGACCACTAAAATCATCATCGGCTGCTTCGTGGCCATTACCTTCATGGCCGCCGTGATGCTGGTGGCCTTCTACAAGCTGCGCAAGCAGCACCAGCTGCACAAGCACCACGGGCCCACGCGCACTGTGGAGATCATCAACGTGGAGGACGAGCTGCCCGCCGCCTCTGCTGTGTCGGTGGCTGCGGCCGCCGCGGTGGCTGGAGGCGCGGGCGTGGGTGGGGACAGCCACCTGGCCCTTCCGGCGCTGGAGCGAGACCACCTCAACCATCACCACTACGTGGCGGCCGCCTTCAAGGCGCACTACGGCGGCAACCCAGGAGGCGGGTGCGGGGCCAAGGGCCCCGGCCTCAACTCCATCCATGAACCTCTGCTCTTCAAGAGCGGCTCCAAGGAGAACGTGCAAGAGACACAAATCTAAACCCAGGCGCGCGGGCCCGAGATGCTGCTGCTTGCCGAGCAGCCCTGGCGGCGCCTGCCAGTCCTGCAATGGGAAAGGACCTGGAGATTAGGAGAGGTGGCCCCGCCCTCCACCTTGCTGTGTCCTCTGCCCACCTGTCCTGCCCGCCACCTTCCAGGGGTTCAGGAGCTTCTTCGAGGGAAACCCTTTCCCCTCATCCCAACAACCCTCCTTTTATGGCTCTTTCTTTTTTCCTTTTCTTTTTTTTTTCTTTTGCAGTTTGACGCCTGTCCTTCCCTTCTACTCCTTCACCCTCAAAACACAAGAGACAGACAACTTCACCAGAGCCCAAGGGGCAACTCCGACAATGTCCCCAACAGCGAGCTCCACTCTCGGCCCTGGCCGGCCCACCCCACCCCACAGACTCTTTTGATACTGAAGGGAGGTTTGCGTCAATCACTACCTGCTCTGTAATTACTTTAAAAAAAAAAAAACACGGAAAAAGTTTAAAAAAATTTTTTTTGTTCATGAAAGTATTGAAGAGAAACAGAACACAAAGCTCCTGCGGGTGGGACAAGGAGAGGATAGACAGCCAGTGATGCTGTCCTCCCAGGAGGGGAGAGTGGATACTCCAAAGTTACAGCTCTGGGACTCTCCATCCCCATGATTCCAGTGAGGAACAGGCTCACCCAGCACAGGGCAGCACGGTTCCATCTCCCCAGCTGCCCTTCCAGAAATGGTCGGGGTGGGGGGTGGGGGGCTCAGTAGCTGCCCTTCTATGTGTCTCTGTCTCCATTGCCATTCCTTTCTGACTCTGGTGCCTCCCACCATCACACACAGCACACAACCCCAACCGGAAGGGACCTAGGACTGCAAGGCTCCAAGGTAGCATGGACCAACAGAACTGTGGGATATTGGGTTCTGAGTGCTGTAAGTCCAAGACCACGCTGCTGGCAGGGCGAGGCTCCCTCTGAAGTCTGGGCAGGAGAGCTACTCCCCAGCCTCTCCTGGTTGCTCCATGTGTGCCTCCCCAGAAAAGGGATGCCATTGTGCTGTTGAACTTTCACAGCAGCAGAACCTGTCCTAACCAGACCAGCTACAGGCACTGCTGTCCAGGAAGGCCACCACTGACAGTCTGGGTGACACATTGAGCAAGTGGTTGTGTTCTCACAAGAGAGTCCCCTCCATTTTACACACATCCCTGGTTACCTGGGAAACAAAGTCTGTACAAGGGAGGTGCACTGAATGAACAGTTCTGGACCACATGAGGGACAGTCTGAGTGGACCAGGATACGTGGAGGGCAGAGTCCCCTGCAGTGTCTGCAATTACCAAGGAGAAAAGTGTGCAGCCAGGCCAGGACTAGAGTAGGGACATTAGTGACATCTCAGAGTGGCCCATATGCCCAAAGTTTAACCTCCAGAGAGCTAAAGTTACCCAGGAAGTCTGGGAAGGCCTAGGGAGATGAGGAGGTACCCAGAGTCAGGCACACGGCACATGGACTCCCGAACTGGCCTAATGCAGCCTGGCCTGTCATCCACACATAGCAGAACTAGACCCTCTGTGGACACAAAAGGCCACAGGGTGTACGCCTCTACCAGGGACGGGAGAGTCAGAATCTCCCCTCCAATCCCTTGGACACTGTGTTCCTGCCCTCTTCTCCCTGTCCCCACATCTTCCTGATGTTTCTAACTGTCCCCACCCCTGCATCTTCTCTCTCCCTCCCCAGTGCTAAGTGGATTCTTTATCTGTGACAACTGTCAGGTTCTGGCCCTATCTCCTTCCCCATCCGGCTCCTCTCTGCTGATGGAGTCTGGGACAGAGCTGTTGCGCATGCACTTTTGGTTCTCCATCTTTTCTGCTTTCTCTGCAGCCATCTCTGCTAGGATCCTGGTTACCATGGCAACACTGCGGCTGTACCAGGTGGCAATGGGGGCAGGGAGCTGGCCTGCTGCAGCCTGCTATGTCCCATGCCAGGCCTGTCAGCCAGTGGCTGGGCCCATCCTGGAGACACTTACAGACTCCGCCATGCAGCTCCCTTCTTCGTGGATGGGATAGGAGGCAGGAGGGGGCCGGGGGGCCAGGAATGCAAAGAGGCAGGAGATTGTGGCCTCAAGGTGGGATGAATGGTGGACAGTTAAGGTGAGCTCAAGGGCAATTAGAGGCTGGAGTGAGAAAGGGGACTCCAGGCAGGACTGAGGGGCACGGAGGACTGGGAAAGACAGGACACAGGTGGGGCATGCAGGACCACATATATTCCAGCCAGACCTTTCCACTTTAGACTTTAGAGGAAATCAAGGAGATCAAGAGGTCTGTAAGGGGCCTAGTGGAAGACCTAAGTTCCTGTCCCCAGTTCTTCCCCTATCCCAAGCAGACTGCAGTCTCCATGACAACCTGCTGGCCAGCCTGAGGAGGGGGATTGCAAAGGGAATTTTCTACCTCAGCAGGAACAGTAGGATGTGGGCTGTTCAGGAGGCAGTGGGGTAGTGGGCACACAGGTCATGCAAGGCCTAGCCACCATGCCAGGCAGCACAGGAGGGCAGAAGGCTCGAAGAGGACACCGTCTCCATCCTGCTCCCTCCCTCCCTCAGTGGAGAGGGTCAGGGGTCAAAGTCCAAAGATCATTCAGTCAGGCCTGGTACAGGGGCCAGCAAGTACAGCCGATCCCCCACAGCAGGGTACCGTGTTAAAGGCCATGGCTGGCAGAATGGTCCCTCAAGTTCTTCACAAGGTGGGGGTGGTGGGCTATGGCCGCCTGGGTGAGTAAAAATTAGCCTGGGGCCTCCTTCTATGCCCCTGTTCCTAAATTTCCAGAAACATCTCTGCTCCCACGTATCTTTCACCCCAGCCTGACAGCCCAGCCTGCCTTCTGCCCACTCACTGGGACTGGGCTTTCTCTCTCTCTCTCTCTCTCTCTCTCTCTCTCTCTCTCTCTCTCTCTGTGTGTGTGTGTGTGTGTGTGTGTGTGTGTGTGACAGAGTGCTTATCTCTGGGTGTCTGTCTCTCTCTAGGTCTCTGTCCTTTCTCTAGACCTCTGAGGTCTGTCTCTGTCTCTTCCCTCTCTCCCTTCTCCTCTCTCCCTTCTCCTCTCCCTCTCTCTACCATCTCCTGTGTTTCCTCTTGCTCTCATCTCTGTGTGTGTATCCGGGTCCTTGTCTCTCTGTGTCTGTCTCTTTCTAGGTCTCTGTTGCTCTTTCTGTGTCTCTGTCTCTGTGTGTATATGTCTCTCTGTGTATGTGGGGCATCTCTCTCCTTCTCCCTAGGTTTTTATATATTCTGTGTGTCTGTCTCTCCTCTTTGGGCTTCTGTGTATTCTGCTGTCTCTTTCTGGGTCCCTGTCTCCTCCTTTGACATTCCTGACTTGGGGGGGAGGGACTCTCTTTCCCTTGGATCCCTATCCCTCCCTTCTCTGCAGGACAGTCCCTTGTGTCCCACCTTCTGGCTCAGGGGTCAGAACTAGGCCTAGAACTTGTTTTTGTATGGAACCGTGACCCTGGACGAATGGCAGGGAGTGTGCCCCCTGCCCTGCAGCTCCGAGACCTCACCGCCCTTGAGGAGAGGTCAGTGCCCAAAAAAGAAGCCTTCCCAAAGCTGTTTCCTGCCTCCCTGTGTCAAACAAGCCTTTGACCCTTTCTGAGTCTTGGTGTACACAAAGATAAACTAGAATGCACCCATCATCCCACTTCCCTCCAGAGCCAGGGCAAGCAGTGATAGCCCTCCAAACCCTGAGGAACCTGGAAGACAGGAGACCTGATTCTTCTCCAAGGCCCTCCCCCTCCATGTCTCTCTTCCTAGGCACCCTGACCTTGTGGTAGAAGTGGCCCATCCAAAAATAATCCATGAATCCGGAGCACAAATCCTTCGACATGCAAACCTTCTGGTGAGCCTCCTCACCCCTCAGTAAGTCTCCCTCTGTGGTGACCACATCCTGCCCTCCAGCAGTGTATCTGGGTCTTGGCCTTGCCTCTCTACCATCCATGTCCCAAGGTGGGATCCCCATCAGCTCTGGCTGACCAGACCACAGAGCAGCAGCTCCTGGAGGCTTCAAACCACTGGGGCCACACGGTGTTTGTGGCCCGAGGGGCCCTGTGGGGGAGTGAGGACATCAGCAGACTGGATGCAGCTGGAGGCCTCCAGGTGAGAACCATCGGGGCTGCAACCAGAGGGAACATGTAAGAGTCTCAGTCCCTTGACCCCCCCCCCATTGCTTCCAGAGCCTTCGAGTCACCATGGCCACACATCCTGATGGCTTCCGGCTGGAGGGGCCCCTGGCTGCAGCACACAGTAGTGGGCCCCGCACAGTGCTCTATGAAGGCCCTGTGCGTGGACTCTGCCCCTTGGCGCCCCGAAACTCTAACACCATGGCAGCCGCTGCCCTGGCTGCCCCCAGTCTAGGCTTTGATCGTGTCATTGGAGTGCTTGTGGCTGATCTTAGGTGAGCAAAGGGAGTAGGTGGAACAGCTGTGTACACTCCGGATGAACTGACTGCCTTCTCTGCTGGCTGCAGCCTCACCGACATGCACGTGGTGGATGTGGAGCTGATAGGCCCCCCAGGGCCCACAGGCCGCAGCTTCGCCCTGCACACCCACAGAGAGAACCCAGCCCAGCCTGGCGCTGTCACCGGCTCCGCTACTGTTACAGCCTTCTGGCACAGCCTACTGGGTATGGCCAGGCATCTCCACCGGTCCTTGGCGTTGTGCTCTGCAGAGCTCAAATGTTGGGTGTCCCACCCTAGTTTTCTGTCCTTTCCCATCCTTAGTTCTCACACTCAGGTTTTACGAGCCTTTCCCCATTCGGCTTTCTCTCAGCGTCTGGGTCCCCCTCTAGGTCTCTCCATCCACAAGCCACATCTCTTTCTGAGTATCCTCTTTGGGTTGTACCACACTATCATTTTCAAAACCCACGTTCACCATGGCCACCTGCATATGTCTGTGTTGTCATCCTAGATTTTCATTCTCCCCACAGGCTGCTGTCAGCTCCCCTCCAGACCTGGGATCCACCTCTGCTGAGTCTCCTCCCCTACTACCCTTGCTGTCACCTTGACTACTATGGGTCCCAGTAAACATCAGAGTTCTGCCCGCTGTTCTCTTTGGTCTCTTTGGTTCCTTGTCCACACCTCTATGTCATCACGCTTCAGCTACACAACGAGTATGACGCCAGTGTGTGCGCTCATACACAAACCAGCCCCCGAAAGCTATCGCGAGATCACTAGTTACTACATCTCCCAGAAACCTCTAGGCAGCAGTGAACCCCGGGAGAGAACGAGAATTGGCTGCGTTGTCCGATGGGAGTTGTAGTCCCACGCGGCAGAGCGGCCCGGCTGACTTCCGGACTGCGCGTCCTATTTAGACGCCCTACGAAGGCCTTCGGGAATCGCAGACCGGCGCGCGCAAGTCGCCGGGAGCTGTAGTCCGTTCCGCCTGCTCAGTCAGCGTGGTACCACCCGGTTGCTGCCTAGGGAATGCGAAAGAGACCGGTACCAGGGAACGGAAAGGCCGGCGGGGTGAGGGCCAGGCGGGCGACAACCAAAGGCGGGTGGGAGTGTGCCTGGTTGCCAGGTGACAGGAAGAGGGGGGTTCCTGTTGCTTAGTAACTGGGAGAGGGCCTTGTTGCCAGGTGAAGGGAGGAGAGAACCCTGGTTATTGACGAGGGGAAGTCTTTCGTTGCTAGGCGACCAGAAGAGACCCTGTTACCCAGAGACGGGAAAGGAGGAGTCCTCCACTGCTAGGTGATCAGAAAACGGACTGGGTTACCAAGCGGGTGGGGTTGTTCTGTTGCTTGGGAACCAAAAAGGTATTGTTTCCTAGGGACAGAAGGGGCGATACTCCGTTGCTAGGTGATGATGATCCGGACCCTTTTTCTTGGAGACATGTAGTTGGGGGGGGGGGTGTCTCTATTGCCAGGTGAGCAGATAAGAGCCTTTACACCCCTACCCCCAGGACTGGGCTCTAAAGGTGTTTCTGTGCTCTGGAGACAGCCTAGGAAACAGGGTCAGGGACCTCGCGTCCTCCTAAGCTAGCCCCAGTGCCCGTCTCAATAGCCATTGCCCAGGGACACAGGAATCTAAAAAACCAAATGACCAAGATCCTAGGTGCCTAACACCTCCTTGTCCCAACCCCCAGCAGGAGCTGAGGCGGGCATGTCTCAGGCGCCGGAAGCGAGGCCGAGTCCACCCTCAGTGTATCACGAGCGGCAGCGGCTAGAGCTGTGTGCCGTCCACGCTCTCAACAACGTCCTTCAAGAGCAGCTCTTTAGCCAGGAGGCTGCCGACGAAATCTGCAAGAGGTGACTGCCATTGGTCCTGGCCCTGGAAGAGCAGGGCTCAGAGAGGCACGGGAGCCTGCCTGGGACCCTAGCGGAGCCAGGGCTCAGATCCCGGAGCTGTTGCCTGCTCTTCCACCTGCTCTCCCACCTGCTGCTTCTCACAGCCTCAGCCCCAGCTTTGGCCTCAACCTCTATCTGAGCCTCTGTCACAACCTCTCAGCTGTCTATTTCTCTCTTCCTGTACATCCTCCACACAGTCCCAGAGCTGCCTGCCCCCTCCTCTGCTTCTGTCCCTCATTAGTTCCCCAGTGCTGTTAGGGAATCGCCCAGGTCCTTCAGGCTGAACTCCGAGGCCTTGTGTGCTCTGGTCCTTGCCTGCCCTTCTGCAGCTTCATCCTTACTGCTCTCCTGGGCCCTGAACAGGCTGTTCCCATGTTACACAAGGCATTTTTTTTTCTTCTTGGTCACTTGGGTGCGCCTCACAATTTCAACCATCACTTTCTTAAGAAACTTTCTTAAGAATCTTTCTCCGCATTCCCACCTCCTGTGTCCTCCTGTGGGCACACAGACACTCCAGCCTGTCATCCGTGCCCACATCCAGTGGCAGCCCTTATCCGCAAACTTCAGATTTACTTTAGAAGACACTCATCTCTCCTGCCACCAGCTCTTTCTCCAGGGACACGCTGAAGAGCTAGAACTGAGGCAGATGGAATGAGGGGAGAAGGCTGGGAGAGCTGCCGACACTACAGAGAAGCAGGGCCACAGAGCTGCCGAGAGCTAGAGGGAAGGCTTGGGCACAAGAGACAGCTGGGGATGGGTGGCTGCTATAAGCTGGTGCTGAGACTTTGCAGGGCCTTCTTGCCACTGGAAGAGGTGGGAGTCTGTCTTGGGATGATGGGGCACTAGGGAGGCCTCTGAGCATCGTAGGGCAGGGTATTACTAAAAGAAAGAGGCACTCTTGTGTTCAAATATGGTAGTATGAATATGTCACCCAGGGACTCTGAGCACACTCTCGGATCTGAAGGCTTCTCTCCCAGAAGAAATGACATCTGAGGCTGCTCTCGAGAAAGACTGTGATGAGTGGGAAGGATGGAGGGTTAGGGACTTTGTCCAGGACTCTTGGGACTCATGGAAGAGGTGGAAGTAGGAAGGGGGTGGGGCAGCTCAGGGCTCCTGTGAGTTGAAGAGAGACTCGTCAAAGGCCAGGTTCTGGGCCTCTCCTATTGTGTGGGAAGGTGGAGGCCTTTCCAGGATTTCAAACCTTGGCTCTGCCCCCTCACCCCTAGGCTAGCCCCAGATTCCCGACTGAACCCCCATCGCAGCCTCTTGGGCACCGGCAACTATGATGTCAACGTGATCATGGCTGCCCTGCAGGGCCTGGGCCTGGCCGCTGTGTGGTGGGACAGGAGGAGGTAGGGCCTAGCCTGTGGGCTGCACTGGCTCTGGGCGTGTGGGATGATGCAAAGGGTGGCTTGAAGGTAGAGAGGGGAGGGCTTGAAGGTAGAGAGGGGCGGCTTGCTAGGGAGGCTATGGCAGATGAGGCCTGACTGAATGATGGGTTGAACTTACAAACTTGGTACCAGTCAAAAGGGTATCCAGATGAGCAACTCACAATAAGGTGGGAAAGATGGAAGGAAGGTCAAGATGAGTGGGGCCATCCTGTTGGCCCAAGGCAGAACTGAGATGGAAGCCAGCCTGAACTGCATATGGAGACCCTGGCTCAAAAGGCCAACAACAAAAAGTTGAGGAGCTGGGGCTCCATGGGCAGAAGGCTTACCCAGCATACATGAGGTCAGGATTCCATCCCCAGCACTCATACACTGCTATAGAGGTGCACATCCGGGATACCGGAGACCCTGCCTAAACAAACCAAAGCTGGAGTTGACAGGTAGAGGGTGATGGGTCAGTGGAAGAATAGACTCCATTCTGGGGAAGGAAGCAAAATCCAAGTGCCTCTGTGGCCCACAGCACAGACCTCAGTGACTCTGGGGCCTCATGATATATCCCTCCCGTTCCCAGACCCCTGTCACAGCTGGCCCTGCCCCAGGTACTAGGCCTGATCTTGAACCTACCCTCTCCTGTGTCGCTGGGGCTGCTGTCCCTGCCACTGCGCCGCCGACACTGGGTGGCCCTGCGCCAGGTGGATGGCATCTACTATAATCTGGACTCAAAGCTACGGGCACCTGAAGCCCTGGGAGACGAGGATGGAGTCAGGTGAGTGGTGAAGAAAATAAGAGGCTGGGGCCAACACTGGAACTGCCCTGCAAGGAGATGGACTGGCCTGGACTGCTTGAGACCTTGGTCTTCCCACTCTCCCACTCAGGGCCTTCCTGGCAGCTGCCTTGGCCCAAGGCCTGTGTGAGGTGCTGTTGGTGGTGACCAAGGAGGTGGAGGAGGCCGGCTGCTGGCTGCACACAAGCTGATCTACTGCCTGTGAACGGCTGCCTGCTGCCACAGTCCTAAGTGTCCAGTGCCTGGAAAGGGCCTGCAACTCTGGGCCTCAGGAGGCCTGCACCCTGCCCTAGGGTCCCTACTTCCCCAACCACTGCTGCCTCAATAAATCTGCTCTTTTGTTATCTGTGCCTGGGCTCAGCTCCTGGGGACTGCTCTCAGTCACAAGCCAGTACCCATAAGGAGACAGAAACCAAAAACTAACATGCTGCCTCCCAAAATTAGAATAATATAAGCTGGAGCAGCAATCATTCCACATTAAGGTTTAGCCCATCAGTGAGAAGGCAAGCAGGACAGTAGTCCCTAAAGATCACCATGGGTCCAGCAGCCTGTGATCGTGCCCTTGACTTCCCAGGTGCAGGGGGAGCTGGGCAGCAGATAGGACTGGCTGCAGTCTGCTTCCTCAGGAACAATGCTCCTGGGTGTGGTGGGTGGCTGGGTGAAGTCAGGGGTCCTTAAAAGCAAGAGAAGACCAGCTCAGGGGAGCCCATTCAGGATTCCTGACCCCTACAGAGCATGAGGTATCTATCACTGTGACAGTGGCTTGGACACTCCTCACAGCAACCTCAGGAGGCTGGCACAGTGACTGACATTTTCTCAGGGTGTGCTGGGCCCCCTGAGGAGAGCCAGTTGGGCTTAGCCTAGAAGCAGGTGAGGGACAGACTGTGGGGTGTTTGGAGAGATATTCTAAGGCACCAAACCTACAGCTGGAGCAAGGAGGGGTACCTCTGTCAGTCACCCAAGCCAAACCTGCTAAAGTGGCTGCTAAACTTGGGGGCCCCAAACTCAGAAGTCACTGATGTGCCCAGAGTACTGTGGCCCTTCTGTCATCACCAGTTATTTGGGGATGTGTTGACAGACAGGTCTATATGGGGCAGAGTGGAAAAGTACTGGAGCCAGGAGGAGGCCCCAGATAAGAGCACCCTGGAGGTAACACTCCAGAGTCACAGAGACAAGGAGATGGTCAGGATCTGACCCTGAGCCACAGGGCCTGTAGGAAACACTGGGAAAGATTGTCCTCAGCTGATGGGATAGACTTGGGCAACAGGGACCCAGGACACCCATTCAGGGATTATAGGAGAGGAGAGGCCCAGCTTGGGGCATGGCACCCCACCTTGGCCTGGATCTATCCCAGTAATGAATTCATCTGGGGACGCGGGCCACACCCTGACACCACTCTAGTGAAAGGAGGGACTCAAGGTGTTGCCATCATGTGAAGGACACATACAGGGCTCAGAACATCCAGGGCCCTTGCTCCCCTCCTAGCCTCAGCCTGCTACAGACTCCTAGTTCCTCCCAGGGTCTCCCGTCTTTCTGTCTCCACATGTGTCAGAGTTAACCCTTTCATTTCCACCACTCCCCTGTGTGTGTGTACCCTCCACCCCCTTTTAAGACACAATCTCTCTGTATAGCTCAGGCTGATCTCAAATTTACCATGATCCTCCGGCCTCAGCCACCCACGCGCTGGGATTATAGGTGTATTCCACCACACCCAACTTCCCCATCTTGTTCCATAGCTGGGTCTCTGGGTAGGCCTCTTACCTTCTCTATGCCTCTATCGCCTTCCTCCCTGTCCACCCCTCACCCCTGCCCCACCTGTCGCCTGTCTAGTCCCGGGTAGAGGACAGCTGGCAGGACTCCCTGAGTGTTTCTATTATTGGCCTGAGTGGTGCAGCCTGTGACAGCCCAGGTGCACCCTCCACTGTGACCAAATAAGGTCCTACATTAGAGGCCTGTGAGGGACGGGTGCGGCCTTCACACTGATTCAATGCCTCCTGTTCGCCCTTAGTGCAGACTTCCTGCCCTCACTGATACCCAACTTCTGAGAGCACCCTTGGCCCTAACATGCCTGACAAGGCCTGTCCTGAAGCTAGGGGCTCATGAGGCGTCCCTGCTGTGGGTATGGGCCTCCATGCTGACCCCCAGGGGCCTGGGGCACAGGCCATGAGAGGGGAGGGTGTGGCACGGCTGCCGTTGCAGCTGTTGTTGCGGGTGCTGACAGCTGAGGCTCGATTTAGCAGCAAGGCCAGGGTCTGGCCAGATAAGGTGTGGATAGAGACAAGGCCCGCCCCTACAGAGCCCCTTAAATTGCAGGGCTTTGGCTAGGGTTGGGGGCGCAGACACCAAGGCCAGGTGAGAGGGTCCTGCTGTGCTGGGGCCCACAAGGTGCCCAGTGTCTCTCCACCTGTCTGCTTGCCTCTCCTGACAGGGCTCCTGCCTTCCACACCCTCCATCCTCACCTTCTGTGCCTCTCTCTGTCTGCCTGTCTGTTTCTCACTATATATATGTGTCTCTCTGTCTCTCTTCTGTGTGTGTCTCTGTGTCTTTGTCTTTATGTCTGTCTGTCTGTCTGTCTGTCTGTCTGTCTGTCTGTCTATCTATCTATCTATCTATCTGGTTTCCCCTGTCTCTCTTTCTCTCTCTCTGCCTCTTTCCATCTGTTTCTCTCTCTCTCTCTGCCTCTGTGTCTCTCCATCTTTCTCACAGATTTTCTATTTTCCTTCATCTCTCTGCCTTTCTCCATCTCTGTCTCTCTCAACCTAATTCTTCCTGTCTCTGATGTTCCTTCCATGTGTCTGTCTCTTGACCTGATGCTCCTTCTCTCTTCATTTCTCTTTCTGTATCTGTCTCTTGTCTCTGCCTTTCTGTGACTCTCTTTGATTCTCCCTCTTTATCTCTGCCTGCTTGTTCCCTACCCCTTCCTCCCCATCTCCCATTTTTGGGTCTCTTCCTCCCTCTCTGACTCCCTCTCTGCTGGGGCCTGAGTCCTATGTTCTCTCCTGAATAAAGCTGGTTCTGTCCTGGCTCCCCCTTCTCTGCCTCCGTCTTTCCTTCCCCCTTCTGCTCCCACCCACACCCAGCCCCAATCCTGGTTGAGGGGCACAGTCCTGGCAGCAGGGGCATCCCCTCCTGCCCCACTCAACAGGACAGAGGGGTGGAAACTGGGGACTCAAGACCAGAGAGGCGGGGAGGAAAGTCAGCCCAAATAAGGGATAACAGGCCATGGGATGTAGAGGCCAGGCAGCACCCGTCACCCGGCAGGCCAGGCTCCCCTCCCCCTTGGGGCAGGCTGTGCCAGCGCCAGGACAATGCACCCTTGTCTCCTGTCCTGACAGCTGAGGGCTCCTGCCTCCGCCTCCTTCAGAGGGACCAGTGGCTCTGCCCTAGGCAGGGGAGTGACCCTAGGGACCAGGCCTAGGGAATCTACTACCTCCAGTCTCCTGTCCCTGCCTGAGCTCCAGGATCTTGTCATTATTCTGGTCACCCTAGCGTTTGGCCACCCTTTCTGTGAGCTGCCTCTGCACTTTCTGTCCTAGCTCTGCTGTCCCTCCACTATGTCCTTTCTCCCCTTCTGGTTTGCTTGGCCCCTCCCACTAGAAATCTTGTGAGCACCTGCTGTGCACAGGTCCTTGACTCCTTTCCCTTTTGCACCTGCTCCCACCTGTCCCATCAGCCTCTCCCTTTTCTTCCCTCCTGGGAGAAGGAATGAACACACCTTAAGCCTCTACTGTATACCAGGCACTCCACTCACTTCTTTACCTCATCACACCCTCCCCTCCCCCTCTCACTGTTTCTCCACTCTCTTCCAAGACAAAGAACACAATTTATTGAACACAATTCTGGTATGCATTCTCTCTCTTGCCCTCCATTCTTCACTGACAATGGTCTGTGCCAGCCTCTGTGCCAGCCTCTGCTTCCTGCTTCTCTCTGCCTGGGGAATATGGGCATACATTGGGCACCAGCTGTGTGCTAAGCTTTTTATAAACACTTCCTTCTCTTCCCCTTCTGTCCTTTGCTTCCTACTGGCTCTCCCCCCAGGAAAGGGAAGGGGCACTGATTGAGCACTGTCTGTGTGCCAAGCAATCCACACCTATGCCACTCTTGGCTCTCTAGCCCCTCCTCTGCAGAGGAAGCAGCAACTATTTCAGGCAGAGGGGTGAGGTGCCCTTTGGGAGCACAGCTAGGGTAAGGATGGGCCAATACCCTCCAGGGCTAAGCAGGGACCAGCACTCACCTCCAGGAACTGATGCAGAAACAGGCTGATGGAAAGGAGTCCCCCCCCACCCCCACCACACACAGCCAGCCTGGGTTACCTATTATCCTCTTTGTCCCTCCCTGCACCCCTCCCATGATTCTTACTCTGTGCCTCTGTCACTCTCCTCACTCTCCGTTACACGCCATCCTCCTTTGATCTCTTCCCGTCTCTGCCCACACACTATGGCTACACGAAGCTCCTCGAATTCAGCACCTGATGAGTACTCCTGCCATCACAGACTCAGACACTGCAGCCCCCCCGCAGGCCTGCCATGTTCCTCCTCCCCTTCTCCTTCACTTTCTCTCCTCATCCTCCACTTCTTCCTCCTCTCCCTTTCTCCTCCTTTTCTTCCTCCAACTTCTTCCTCTCTTCTTCTCCATCTTTCTCTTCTTCCTCTCCATTTCCTCCTCCTCTGCTTTCATCTCCTTCCTTTCTCCTCCTCCATCTTGTCTGCCTCCCTTTCTCCTCTTTCATTTCCTCCTTCTCCCTTCATTCTCTTCCTCCTTTCCCTTGTCCTCCTCCTCTTCCCCTGACTCCTCTTTCTCCATGTTTTTCTGCCCCTCCTTCTCTTCTTCCTCCACCTTCATTTCTTCATTCTCTCATCCCCATCTTCTTTCTGTTCCTTCACTTTCTCCTCCTCTTCCTACAACTCCTTTTTTCTTCTCTCTCTTCCACTGTTTTTTAACCATCTCCTCTGTCACCACCTCCTCATCTGCCCCTTGCTTTCTCCTCATCCTCTGTCTCTCTATGCTCCTATTATATCTCTTAGTCCTCTGCTTCCTCCTCTCCCACCTCTTCTTTCCTTACCCTCTCTTTCATATTCTCCTTCTCTTCCTTCCTCGTTTCTTGTTTCTTCCTCCATTTCTTCCCTCTCTTCCTTCTCCTCTCCCTGTAACACATCTTCCTCATGTCCCATGCATCTTCCTTTCTTCCTCCTCCTCACCGCATCCCCCTATACATCCCGTCTCTCCTCTTCTCCCAACTTCCTTTTCATCACCTTTTCCTCCTCCATATTTCTTTCTCCATCTTTTCTATCTCCTTTCTCCACTTCCTCTTCTTATTCCTCCATCTTTATTTTCTTCGTTCTCC